GTGGCCAGGACAGGCCACCTAAGATGGCAAGGCAGGGGCACTGCATATCCTCAAGGCGGCCATCCTTATCTAAAGAGAGAGCCGAAAGGCAGGGCCTGGCTTAGCCCCTACCCACCCAGGTGGCGCTGTAAAAGCCCCGGGGCCTCAGTTTCCCCATCTATCAATTCTGGATAGACTTAACGGGACAGACCACAAAATGGGCCAATAGGAGAGTGAGCCCCAGCCTGGCACCCCCCACCCTCCTGCACCCAGCTCAGTGGCTCCGGGGAAGCCCCCTAGTCCCTCCCGGCTTATGTTCCCAGCTGGGTCCCCATGCTCTTCGCTCCTTCTGGGTTTGTGTTAGTGAGCAGTTGCCATGGATACAAGTCTCAGCTTCTTTGGCAGAAAACGACTCCCCCAGGGCAAGGCTCTGCCTTTCCTCAACAGCCCCCACTGCACCCAGCTCCAAGTGCCCAGGCTGCCACGGGGTGGATGGAAGGGAAAGAAAATAAATAGGTCTCCGAAGGAGAGCAGGTTCCCCAGAGAAGTTGGAGAAGGATCTCAGTTCCCAAGTAGTCACTCACCAACCATGAACAAAGCTGGGGCCGGCTCCCTCTTGCAGGGTCTGTTCCAGGAGCAAAATACTGCCACCTACACCCGCAGCTCTGCTTTCGTTTTACAGAGTGGGGCAGAGCTGGTTAGAGGCGCTGTGAGCCCCCTGTCTGAGGAACTCCCTCCTTCTCCTGACCTGGCAGCCAGGCGTGGGCTCTGAATACGGAGTGCATGGCTGCTAGGCTGGTAGGGGCTGTGGGAACAGGAGCCTAGGGGACCTCAAACTGCCTTGGCTCAATTAAACTGAAATTCACCTGCCCGAAGGGCTCTGGCCTGAGTCGGCAGAGCTGCGTTCCCAGACCAGAAGCAAGGGGCATGCCCCTACCGCCACCGGGGCTCCTGGGGCCGGAGAGGAGGCCATACTGGCTGGTGTGGCCTGCTCCGCCCCACGGGTGACCTTGGGGAAGTGTCTTTGTTCTCTGAACGGCCGCGTTCCCATCTGCACAAGGAAGTGGAAGGACAGACTTAGAAGAGGTTTCTGGGCTACCTCGATTTCATCCAATGGAAGCAGCGCTCGATAAGAAGGGAAGCACAGGAGCCGGGCCCTCCTCACCCGCTCCGAGGCCTGCTGCCCTCAGGGGGTTCTCATGGGGCAGAGGAGAGGCTGTAATTAGCAGGATCACCGGTTGGGTGGCGCTGGGAAGGCTCTCGCAGCGGCACAAGCTACTGGAGTTCCCAGGATGGAGACCAGCCCTGTGGAGAAGGGAGGGGCTCGAAAAGGTGTCCTGAAAAGGACTGTCATAAACAAAACAATCACCAAAAAAAAAAAAAAAAAAAAAAAACAGGCAGGGCTTCGTGGCCAGGGGCCCCACTTGAGCAGAGGCATGAAAGGGAAGGCAGCTGATGCTCGTGAAGCCCTCCTAGGAATCTGGCCCCGTCCCAGGTGCTGAAGATACAGTCTCATTTATCCCACACAACCCAGGAGGCAGGCGGGAGGGGAATGATCACACAAAAGGCTCAGGTGATGTCTTCAAGGTCACACAGCTGGGAAGCCAAAGACCCTTGCCTCGATCTCTGGCAGCAAAGACTCTAGACCTGCACTGTCCACTCTGGTGGCCGCTGGCCACCGTGACATGGACATGTGCTGTGAATGGAAAACGCACACACTGGGTTTCAAAGACTTCATATGAAAATGAAGGCAAAATATCCTATTAACAACTTCATATATATTTTTATTCATTTTTCTTTTCTCTTTTTTGAGAGGGAATCTCACTCTGCGGCCCAGGCTGGAGTGCAGTGGTGTGATCTCGGCTCACTGCAACCTCTACCTCGTGGGCTCAAGTGATTCTCCTGCCTCAACCTCCCAAGTAGCTGAGACTACAGGCAGCTGCCACCACACTTGGCTAATTTTTGTATTTACTTTAGTAGAGACGGGGTTTCGCCATGTTGACCAGGCTGGTCTAGAACTTCCAACCTCAGGCGATCTGCCTGCCTCAGCCTCCCAAAGTGCTGGGATTAAAGGCGTGAGGCACTGTGCCCAGCCACTGAACTGATATTTTACTGGGGCTGACAGAAATATATATGTCAGTTGGTGATAAATACTGTGAGGAAGGATAAAGCAGGCTAAAGGATTACAGGCACATGCCACCATGCCCGGCTAACTTTTGTATTTTTAGTAGAGATGAGGTTTCACAATGTTGGCCAAGCTGGTCTCAAACTCCTGACCTCAAGTGATCTACCCTCTTCGGCCTCCCAAAGTGCTGGGGTTACAGGCGTGAGCCACTGTCCCCAACCCTAACAACTTTTATATTGAATACATGTTGAAATATATTGGATATACTGAGTTAAATAAAATATATTATGAATTAATCATACCTATCTTACACTATTTAAATCCAGCTACCAGAAAATGAATATGTGGTTTACATTGCATTCCTTTTAGACAAAGCTGATCTATGCCATGAACAAACACATGTAAAGGACAGATTAAAGAAGGAGAGTGGGTCCTCCCGTCACTCTTTGGCGGGGAGCTGAGGCCAGGTAGGTGTGAACATCAAAGATGGAGCAGGGCAGCGCCTGAATCCCCACCTCCGTCCCAGCTGGGCCAGCCAGCAACAGGTGGACTCAGGCCTGGGATGCGCACTCCCCAGCCCCTAGCACATCAAGCCATGGCAGTTACCATAGAGACAACAAATAATCCTAAAAACTGAACTTGGGGAAATGGAGATGGGGAAATCTGTCATAGAGAGAGGGGCAACCAGGCTCATCCGGAAAGGAAATCTGTCTGCTGTGTGTTGGGGGTGGGGTGGTGTGGGAGCTCCCATCACAGGCCAGGAGAGGGAGGGAGGCACAGCCCAGGCCGGTGTTTGCACAGGGTTTTCCGGGCCTTCCTCCATAAGCGCCACACGCCCCTTTTAGCCACCACTCCCCACCTCCCCTCCCCTATTCACCAGAAATTTCCTATCTCATTTCCCCATTCTGACAGTCTGACTCTGAGACCCAAGTAGAGGTGGGGACAGATAAGCGCCAGCCCTCCCTGATGCCACCCTCTCAGGCTCTGCCCCTGGCAGAGGCAATTCCCCTAAGAACGTCAGAGGGGGTGGTCTGGGGCCAGAAAAATAAAGCTGGAAAGCGTTACAGTGCCAGAAGTAGTGCCTACCATTCATTCTTCAGCTGAGAAAGAGGGGGAAGACCTCTTCCCAGGCAGACCCTTGCTATTAGATGTAACACCAGCTTTGCCAGTCACTTTGGCCATCTTGGACAAGGGTGTCCAGGAACCTTGGTCCCCCCCATCTACGTCCAGAAGCCTTTTTTGAACTGACTACAGGTCCCAGGTAGTCTCTGATTTCTCCCCCAAAGGGTGGCACTTAAGCTCCCAGGTCCTGGCAGCATGGTGCATGGAAGATGGGGGTTGGCTCAATATTCCTGCTCTCTAGACCAGAGTAAATGCCTCTTTGGGACAGCTCCACCCAGAAACCATATCACTAGTACCCACTTCCAGCTTCCTCCGGTGGAAGGACAGAGAGCCAAAGGGGTTTTGAAAGCAGCAACAGGGGGAGGGGAAGCTTCCACTCTCCCATGGGAATTCCTCCCTTCCACTTGACACAAAACTCCATGCAACAGAGGGGGAGACTGAGGCTCGGAGAAGTGCACCAGCTGGCGTGTGGTTTATGTCAGGGCTCTCTTCTCTCAACTGCCACAAACTTCTCTTTAGAGTGTGTCCAAAATAAATCCTTCTCTCTCTCTCTCTCTCTCTCTCTCTGTCTCTCTCTTTCTTTCTCTCTCTCTCTCTCTCTCTCTCTCTCTCTCTCTCTCTCTCTCTCTCTCTCTCTCTCTGTTGTGTATGTATTTGGTAGCTCCAGATTTCACTAAGCTATAGTTTGTCAGGTTCTGGGCCAGCATGCCAGGCACACAGTACTGCTCTCCTCCTGCAGGGAGCCCCTACCTATGCCAGTCTGGCCAGAGTCCTTCCCTCTCAAGATGCCACCATTCCCAACGAGCAGCAGCTCAGTCTAGGGCAAATTCCTACCCCTAGACCCACCCCTAAGAGCTGGGGAGGGGAGCCAGAAGGAAATTCCAGAACCACGTGCATCCCCCCCCCCAAAAAAAAAAGCCCAAGGATCAGTCAACTCACAAATGGGCAAAGAGACCTAAACACTCGCTGAGACTGGCCCAAGGTCACACAGCAAGCACATTAGGAGCAAATCTGGGACTAGAACCCAATCCCGACCCCAATCTCGTCCCCAAGGCTAATTCCCAGAGATGCTCCCTGAGGATGAGGCTCTGAGTCTCTGGTTCCAGAGGCCTGCGCCCTACCCTGAGCCCCAAATGCTATAGAGCAGGGGGAGGCGCCTTCAGGCCTCTGTATGGGGCCAGCTGCAAACCGCATCCCGGGTCCCCAGGCGCCGCGGACCCGCCCCGCCCCTCCCTCCGCTCCCCGCAGCCCAGAGCCTTTGTCAGCCACGCGCTCACACGCTCACACACACAACCGGGCCGCCACGCGCGCACACACCCGTCTCCCTAGCGCACACCCGCAAGGGGCGCGAGCACTCGCCGCACGCACGCTGAGGGGTGGAGGCGGCGGAGAAAGGAAGGAACTGACGGGCGGTGGACGGACAGACGGCCTGGGCTGGGGGAAGGGAAGGAGGCCCGGGAACCTGCGGCTGGGGTGGGAGGGGCTCAGAGAGACGCAGAGGAGACTCTTGGAGAAGAGGACAACGGATGGGCCGCCAAGGGCTGGCGAGGACGCGCGGGCTGCTCCGGGGTGGGGACTCCTCCAACCCCTGGCCCCGGGTGGGTAGGAGCGCGGAGGCGTCCCTTGCCCAGTTGTGCCTGAGCAGAGGGCCCGTGGGGACCTCGCGTAGGGCCTGGAGCTAGGAAGCCGGGGACGACAGCTCTCTGGGGTCCCCCGAGGCGGGGGTGGGCTGGGTGGGGTCCTGGCCCCCAGGCGGGGTGGGGCCCTCGCTCACCTGCCACGGTGTACCTGTCCAGGTAGTTGAGCACGTTGCCCAAGCTGAGGATGGCGGCGGCCGCCCCCCGCCCGCGGCCCAAGCTGGCCGGTTTGGGCTGCTGCGCGCCCGGGCCCTTGGCAGCAGCTGCGCAGCCGGGGGTGTCGGGGGCTGCGGCCGGGGCCCGCCTCACGCTGCCCGACAGAGTCTGCACCTCATCGTCCGCGGCCGAGACTCCAGCGCCGCCCGCGCCGCGCGCCCCGCAGCAGCCGCCACTGCCAGCCCCGCGCTGCGCCCCCCGGCGCCGCCGCCGCCGCTCCGCGTCCGCCTCCTCCTCCTCCGCGCCGCCCGCCGCCGCCGAGGCGCACTCCAGGCACATCATGCCGGCCGGGATCGGGGCGGCGGGGGGCGCGGGGGGCGCGGGGCCCAGCCTGGGCCCGCTCAGCGCGTGCGTGCGCCGCGGGGCCGCCGCTGCACCATCCCGGTCGGGCCCCGTCGGCTCCTGCGCTCCGGCCCCGGCTGCGGCGCTGCCACAGCTCGGCTCGATGCGCTGCCGTCGCCGCCGAGGCTCTGACAGCTGCGGCCCGGCCCCGCCCCCCGGGCCCGGGCCCAATCAGCTCCGGGCTCGGGCCACAGCCCCGCCCCGCACGTGCTGCCCCGGGGCGGGGGCCCGGGGACGGGGGGCGCGGGCGGCAGAGCCCCTCCCGCAGACGGGGGCGCAGTCACCCTGGGGCCTCAGGGCCGCGAACGCCCGCAGGGAGCGGGAGAGGGTTTGTTCTGGCTGCGGAGCTGGGAGCCGGGTACTGGTGGTGGCTCCCAGCACCTACTCAGGACTCTCCACCCAACCCCTGCCTCGGGCGTGGACTCCCAGCCGAGGCGCTGGGAGAGGGCTGTGGGCTTGAGCGTATTAGGGCGAACTGGATGGAAGGGTCTCAGATGGCTGAAGTCAAGGGCGCCTGTTGGAGAGCGGGCGGCTCCTCCCATACACACACGCCCTGATTTAAACAGTGGAGGGAGGGCCCAGAACCTCGACCTCCACCAGGCATGGTGGGCTGCGTCGCCTACCTCCCCAGGACAACCCAGATCCAGCCCCAATCTACCCCGGGCCCATTCCTGTGGGGACAGTGGGGCCCTACCCTTGCCCCACAGAGTGGCCGGTAGCCCATGGCAGGGGGAGCCAGGGCTCTGATTGGGGCCCAACAGAAACAGGATATTCAGAAGGGGCTCTTCTCTCCTGAGGGACCCATCTCCAAGCTTCAGACTTCCGGGTGCGTGCCAGTGTACGAAGCCCTCAGTGGCAGATGGGAGGCTGGGTCCTAGCTCAGCTCTGCCCTGGTGTGTGGCATGACCCTGAACAAGACACCCACTCTTTCTGGGTTTCCGTTTCTGTATCTGGGGGCAGATGGCAGGATGGGATTCAGTCACTTCCCCTTGGTGGGGCGGGTTTGGGGGGTTCTGCCTCCTATGGAGAGTGGTTGGGGAGCTTCTGTGTTCCTGACTGCCATCACGGTTACATCCCTCCTCAGAGGTGCTCTGGATCTGTGACAATCCCCCCCTTCCCTCCCCCATTCACCTGTTTGGGGCTTTCATTGAAATTAAAATCCTGTACAAACAAAATGCAGAGGACAGAATGTTAGAACTGGACGGACCTTCAGAATCCAGTTAATTATTCCCTGTGTTTCACAGACAAGCCCCAGGGCATGGACATGACCCAGTAGAACAGGCAGCCAGTCTGTGGCCAGGCTGAAGCTCATTCCCTGATGCACGCTTCTCCAGACCCCACGTCCATGAGCAGGTGCATCTCATGAAGCTGGCGGGCACAGTGAGTCATGGCATAGCCAACGGGTGACGCAGCACGAGGCACCCCCTCCACTGTCTCTTGTGAGCAGAGTTAATCCCCAAGCTGGTGTTTCTTGGCGCCTTCGAGGTGTATTTTAAATTCTGCAAAGTGACTAAAAATATGCTTCAGCGTGCTGGGTCTGAATGGCTGTGACGGGAGGGTTAGGAAAACAGATTTCATTCTGAAAGTTGCCGGCTGCCTCTTTCCAGCTTGCTGAGCTCAGGCCTGCAAAGGTGGATGCGGGTGGGTTCCCCTGGGTGGCCTGGCATGACAGGTGATTAGCAAGCAAGGACAGAGCTAGGCACTCCGTGAGGCTAGAACCTGGCCCCCACAATGATCCTCAGAAGTGTGTGATGGTGCCAGCAGGTGGACAAAGCGCAGCTGTGGGAGGCTGCCCAGCGCTGGAACTGTGTTTGGTGGTGAAAGGCACAACCACAGCTCTAGATGCAACCCCACGGTCCCCTCCAGGGGGGACACTTTTGGCCTTGACAGAAAGGGGTGCATTCTGTCTACTGCCTTCCCTTTTCACCACTGGGAAGGTCCCAGAGCAGGGGAAGAGGGTGGCATTGTGAGCCTTTCAAACCTGGGGACCTCTCAGCTGCCACCAAGCAAGCCAGCTGTTCCCACTGTGTTTTACTGGGGTTTCAGCTCTAAGGCAGTCTCTAGGGGATAGGTCCTTGTGTGGGAGAGGGGGCCACCAAGGGCAGAGCAACAGGGAGGACAAGAAGCCCTTTCTGGTTGTGCAGCCCTGGGCAAATCCCCACAGCCTTCTGAGAAGCTCTGGCAGTATCCTGGGACGGTCAGACATAAGACTGGTAGGGTTCTTTCCTCCATGTCACCAATAGGAAACTGAGGCCCAGGGAATAGAAGTGATTTGCCCAAGGTCGCGCACCTGGTAAATGATGGCACATGGACTCAAACCAGGTGTGTCCACCCTCTAATCCAGCACTTCCTTCACTCTCCCACTCACTGCCCTCAGCCTCTGAGAGACACTGGTTCCTCAGCGGCATAACAGGAGGCTGAACTCCATAGCTGAAGGACCTTCTGAGATTCATCTATTAGATCTAGAACACAGCTTCAAAATCAAATGGGAGCCAGGTGCATTGGTTCATGCCTGTAATCCCAGCACTCAGGGAGGCCGAGGTGGGTAGATCACTTGAGTGGGAGTTCGAGACCAGCCTGGCCAAGATGATGAAACCCTGTCTCTACTAAAAATATAAAAATTATCTGGGCATGGTGACATGCACGTGTAATCCCAGCTGCTCAGGAGGCCGAGGCAGGAGAATTGCTTGAACTTGGGAGGCAGAGGTTGCAGTGAGCTGAGATCATGCCAGTGTACTCCACCCTGGGTGACAGAGCGATGCTCTGTCTTGAAAACAAAACAACAACAGAAATTAAAAACAAAACAAACCAGAAAAACCAAAAATAAATGGGGGGAAAAAGAAAAGAACACACACCCAAAAAAAGAAAAAAATGGGGCACAGGACATTCATGACCATTATTCAAAGGGCAGGTATATTCAGGCAGTAGTGGGATAAACACAGAAAAGCAGGTTTCCTTGCTCAGGGACTTTTCACAGCCTTGACTTTGAGAATGGACACTCAAGTCTCCCAGAGGGAAATATACAATGCCATGTTCCTAGGTGTGTGTGACCACAGAACGTCTTGTAAGACTAGAGCTCGGCAGAGCACACACTGAGAAATACTGGCCTAGAATGTGCTCGCTCCTCCACAGCTGGCAATTGGGAGCTCAGTCCGTCTGCCCCCTGCCCATCCTCCTGCATGGGGCTGTCTCCAGGGCTCAGGCCTTGGTGGCTTCCCTCCTCCCTTAGCAGCTTCTGCCTTGGCAGCCTCTCACCTAGGCCTGAACTTTACTTTTTTTTTAAGAGGCAGGTTCTCGCCAGGTGGCTCACTCCTGTAATCCCAGCACTTTGGGAGGCTGAGGTGGGCAGCTCACCTAAGGTCTGCAGCTCAACACCAGCCTGGCCAGCGTGGTGAAACCCCATCTCTACTAAAAATACAAAAATTAGCTGGGCGTGGTGGTAGGTACCTGTAATCCCAGCTACTCAGGAGGCTGAGGCAGGAGAATCAGTTGAACCCAGAAGCAGGAGGTTGCAGTGAGCCAAGATCGCTCCAGCCTGGGTGACAAAAGTGAAACTCTGTCTCACACACACACACACACACACACAAAAAAAAAAAGAGGCAGGGTCTCTGTGTCACCCAGGCTGGAATGCAGTGGTAACCTTGAACTCTTGGGCTCAAGGCATCCTCCTTAAGAAGGGGCTTCTTGAGGCCAGGCTCAGTGGCTCCCAGATTGGCTCCTGGATTACGCCTGTAATCCCAGCACTTTGGGAGGCCAAGGCAGGCAGATGACTTGAGGTCAGGAGTTCAAGATCAGCCTGGCTAACATGGAGAAACCCCATCTCTACTAAAAATACAAAAACTAGCTGGGCGTGGTGGCACACGCCTATAATCCCAGCTACTCAGGAAGAGAATCGCTTGAACCAAGGAGACAGAGGTTGCAGTGAGCTGAGATCACCTCACTGCACTCCAGCCTGGGTGACAGAGCAAGACTCCGTCACGGGCAGGGGGGAAGGGGAGGAAGGGGCTTCCTCTCCTGAGGGTCCGCACTTCAGCTTCCCAAGTGGCTGGGACTACAAGCATGCACCATCACATCCAGGTTTTGTTTGTTTGTTTTTGTTTGTTTGTTTGTTTGTTTGTTTTTAGCAAAAGAGTTTCACTATGTTGACCAGGCTGGTCTCAAACTCTGGGGCTCAAGTGCTCCCACCTCAGCCTGCCAAAATGCTGGGATGAGAGGCAGGAGCCACCATGCCCAGCCATAGCCTAAACTTTCAATCATCATCCATGTGACCCCAACACCCCAACCTCCATCTCTATTCAGGGCCCCATCTCCAAACAGTAGATCTATGTGTGGTCCCTACACATTCCCCTCCCCATGCCCAGATATCCCATGGGCACCTTGGGCTCAACACATTTGAAACTGAACTAGTCATCTCTGCCCCAACCTGCTCCCACTCTGGTATCATTCGTCTTTTGGCAAAAAGCATCATCGTCCACACTGTCGCTAAGCAGGAAGCCTGGGGGCCACTGGGGCTCCTCTTACTCAACACCCACATCTAAGGCCTTTCCATTTCTTCTCTTTCACTTCTCCCCATGTCCACACTGCCCGCTCTGCCCTCTGGCTTAGCTCAGACCTCTCTATGTCTCACCCGGACCCTTGCTCTCACATCCCCCTCCAGTCTTTTTATTTTTGAGACAGTGTCCTCCTGCTCTGTTGCCCAGGCTGGAGTGTGATGGCGTGATTTCCGCTCACTGCAAACACCGCCTCCCAGGTTCAAGCAATTCTCCTGCCTCAGCCTCCCGCGTAGCTGGGATTACAGGTGCACACCACTATGCCCAGCTAAATTTTGTATTTCTAGTAGAGATGGGGTTTCACCATGTTGACCAGGCTGGTCTTGAACTCCTGGCCTCAAGTGATCCACCCACCTTGGCCTCCCAAAGTGCTGGGATTACAGGCGTGAGCCACCGCGCCGGGCTGGCCCTTCAGTCGTTCCTCCACATTGCTTTCCAGTCACTTTCTGAATCACACAAAGGACCTCATCATTACCTTGAACAAAACCTTTCTAAGGCTCTTCACTGACTATAGGGTTAAAAATATCTAATTTCCTTAAGGATCTCTAAGGGCCTTCACAACCTTTCACAACCCATGACTGTCTCCAGCTTCAG